ATCCTTTGACTTTCAGCCTATGAATGTCTTTATGAGTTAAATGTGTTTCTTGTATACAGCATATTGTTGGATTTTGTTTCCTAATCCGCTGTGCCAGTCTATTTCTCTTAATTGGTGAATTGAGTCCATTTACATTGATGGTTATAATTGAGATGTGTTGACTTACGATTGACATGTTATTTACCTGCTGTTGTTTACTCTTTTTTGTCCTGTGTTTGTTCTATTTAGTGGGTTCCTTCTGTTCTCGTTCGTGGAGTTCTGATCATTTTGGTCCCTCTCTAGAACATCTTTCAGTAGTCTGTGTAGGGTTGGCTTGTCATCATGAAATTCTTTAGTTGTTCTTTGTCATGGAAGTATTTCACTTCATCAAACTTGAACTAGAGTTTTGCAGGTAGTCGGGGCTGGAATTCGTTTTCATAGAGGACTTGAAGTACTCTGCTCTGTGCTCTCTGTGCCTTCATGGTTTGTGAAGAGAAGTCGGCCTTAATTCTGATGGGTTTTCGTTTGAATGTGATCTGCTTCTTTTTCTCTAGCGGCTTTCAGTATATTATTCTTGTGCTGGATTTCTAGGATCTTGACTCTTATATGTCTTGGTGTGTTTTTAATTGGGTTGAGGTTACTTGGCATTCTGTATGCTTTGGCTACCTGGATGTCAGATTGTTTCCTATATTTGGGAAGTTTTCTGCTATTACTTATGCCCATATTCTTTTTATATCATTTGTATTGACTCCATCTTTCTCATTGATGCCTATTAGTCTCATACTGTTCATCTTTGCATCATCTTGCAGGTGATGCATTATTCTTTCCTGCATCCTAGTTTTTAAGAGATCCTTTCTTACCTTTTCACTAGCTGCACCAGTGTCTTCAAGATCTGAAACTCTGTCTTCACTTTCACTCAAATGGTTTTGCAGGCTTGTGATTGAGATTTTAAGTTCCTCTATATCTCTTTGACTCTGCTTCATGTGATCTATTTCTTTCCTGTATTGCTCATTCAAGGAATCTGTCATTTTTCTAATCTGATTTTTTTTTTAATCAATGTCTTCTTTGGAGACAGTTATTAATTCTTTTACTGCAGAGTTTTTTTGTTTGTTTGTTTTGTTTTTGCTCCGAATGCCTTCAGGGCAGGTTTGGCTGGCTTGAGTTGTGGGGCTTGAACCACAGCAACCTGAATCTGACAGCTTTGTTGAAGCAGTCTATTAAAGAACTGAGCTAAGTGGCAGGCCTCCTACTGCAGAGTTTTTTTCCAATTGGGTTTTCTTCATATGTTTCTGTATTTGATTCTTTACTTCAAATGCTATGAATTCAGAGATTTCTTTTTTTATTTAAGAAATTAATTCCGCGCAGTTCCTCCATACCTTTCTGTTGTTTACTTCCGATGCTGTTAATTCATAATTTCAGCTGAGTTACTTTCATCTGCAGTTGTTCTGGGTGGGCATTGGGTTCCCCCACCTATGTTTCTGTATTTGATTCTTTACTCCAGATGCTATGAATTCAGAGATTTCTTTCTTTATTTCTGGAATTAATTCTGCTCTGAGTTCCTCTATACCTTTCTGCTGTTGTTTCTTTACTTCCAACGCTGTTAATTTATTCATTTCAGCGGAGCTGGTGTCTTCTGTACTTGTTCTGGATGGGACTGAGGCATTAATTGCATTTTGCTCCTTGTCTTTGTCATTTCTTATAGCACTGATCTCTGGCCTTTGATGCAGAGCTTTGGTGCAATTATAACCTTAGCACCTACTGAAATTCAGGTGCAGATCTGTCAAGTTTGAATTTATCCAGTTATGCCTGGCCTGGGTCTAGCTGTTGTGTTCAGCTCCTTCCTGCTGTAGCCCTTGGAAATGAACCTGTTGTGCCTCTTGGGCACAACAGTGAACCTGTAGTGCCCCTCTGTTGTGCCCTTGGCCCAGGGGGCACAGGGAAGCACAGAAGCTCTCTTACACACTAGCCTGGCCTGGGCTGGGCTGGATCTGGGTGTCCTGAGAGTGTCGCAGAAGTTCTCACTCACTAGGTGGGCTTGGGGGCGGGGGCTCTGAAGGATTGGAGGGGTCCCAAGGGCGCAGTAGAGGGTGTCACTCATGCGGCTGGCCTGAGTTTTTGTCCGGAGAGGTCCCGCTGGTGCAGGGAAGCTGGAAGCTGTCCCACACACTCACCAGACCTGGGCTGGGCTGGATCTCGTATCTACTAATCTTTAACATGTAATTTGAAGTATGCTTTTTTTTTTTTTTTTTTTTCACTTTTAATTATATTTTGATAACTTTGCTATGCTTTGGGTCATAAATAAGTTATATGGACATATGAAAATTTGTTTCAACAGAGCAACAATAGAAGAGGCATATTCTAGGTCAATGACAAAACTAGCAAAATCTGCGAGCAATTATTCACAACTTGGGTGAGTTAGTTTCTTTGTCTTTTCTTTTTTGATGTTCTTCTAGGCAAAGTTCTTTAACATGTTAAGTTTCTATCAGGAATATAATAGTTTATAAGTATAAATTGTACACAACAATTATATATTCTGAGAAATGTGTACTTTGATTAATGTTGTTACTGTACAAACAGTATAAGTTGTACTTACACAGACTAAGACATCTACAGTATCACTAAGTGATGTTAGTGGGACCAGGTGATATGTGTCTTGTATATGAGTTTCATCATCGCCAAATGTCAATATTATTTCTTGACTTTCTATGAACTATAATTGAAGTTGCTGAAAGATAATGAAACTTTTTTCTGCATGATCATTCAGTAATAGTAAATTTGAGATTAACAAATTTGTTATTTGTAAGTGTATTAAATTCTGTTGTAGCTTAACAGTGAACTTTAAAAACAAGATAAACTTTACTAAAATAATTAAAATCCATTAAATGTCTCCTATGATTTTACTGAACCATTAAATCTTCATTTCAGAATTTGTATTGAAGAAATAGTTTCTTTTTTTTTTTTTTTTAAAAAATTTTTTTTTTTTTTTTTTTTTTGTGGAACCAGGGATTGAACTCAGGCCCTTGCGCTTGCCAGGGAATTGTTTATCCACTGAGCCATCTCCCAGGCCCCAGAAATAGTTTCTTGAAAAGTAAAAATTAGTAAGAAGGGTGTATTTAAAATGAAACTATGCTCATAATTGTAATTATATCAAATTATTTAATATAATTATAATCAAATTATATAATTTGAAACAAAATATGGGCTGGGGAGATAGCTCAGTGGCATAAGCGCCTGCCTGGCAAGTGTAAGGTTCCAAGTTTAATCCTCAGTACCGCCAACTCCTCCCACCAAAAACAAAGCAAACACAAAACTCTGGTAGGAATGGTTACTTATTTAATTATCTAAAAATTGAGAAGTGGCTATAAGTTTAGCTAAGATGTTGAAAATAACAAGAGTTTTGCAGTCATGGTGAAAGATTTCTCTGTAGGTTTTTTTTTTTTTTTTTTTTTGCAGTACTGGGGATTGAACTCAGGACCCTGCACCTGCCAGGCAAGTGCTTATTCTATTGAGCTGTCTCCCAGCCCTCTCTATAGGGTTTTGATAAATTTGTGTATCCTCTGAAGTTTCATGTATAATTTTACAGATTATGTTTTCTTTTTCTTTCTTTTTTTTTTGGCAAAACTGGGGATTGAACTTAGGCCCTTGCACTTGCCATGGAAGCACTTATTCTACTGAGCCATCTCCCCAGCCTCCTAGGTTTTTTTTTTTTAATTATATTTTCAATGAAGATGTACAATACAAAGCATCAGATTCACAGATAAATCTGTTAATTTCAAGAAAGAGATTAAGTATGATTATTTTATATTAGTATTCTGCAGTATTTGTTGCATGTGTTTAAGTCAGAGTCTTCCTACTTTGTGGCCTAGACAAGGGATGGTTGGAATATTAGTACATCCTCAGTGCAGTGACCCTGTCCCTAAGTGTGTACCAATAGCCCACAAATCTTAAAACCCTCTTTCAACTTTGTACACTGAGCTGGGAGGGCTGGGAGCTGTTGCCTGTTTCACCTGGAAGAGTGGAGACTGTGACTTTAACTCATGTTTTTTTCTTCTTATCTTCCAGTTCTTTCCTTCTTTCTTTCTTTTTTCTTTCCCCCTCTTGGGAAGAGTCTACAGGGTGTTCAGGGTCTCACTGCTAGATCGGACTCATAGTGATTCTCCTGTCTACAGCCTCCCAAGAGCTGGGATTACAGGTGCACACCACCATGCCCAGTCTCACTTGCTGTCTCAGCGTGCCCCAGAGGCGGGGCCGGGGCTGGCACAGCAGGCCAAGAATTGAATCCTGGCCCTTGTACCTGCTTGCAGGTATTTTAATCTGCTGAGCTATTTGACTGGCCCACCATTCTTCCCTTTTGTGTTCTTCCTTTTTTCTTTTATCCGTTTCTACTTTCACTTTTTTGACACCTTCCCATTTTTAGAGACCCCATATTGATAATCTTCTTCTAAAACATAGTTTATTTCTTACTGGTCACAGGGGAATAAAAATGTAACTCAAGTAGTAAAAGCTAGTTTTAGTTGATTTTATTATACAAAATTTTATCTTATCCTTAGTTTCCATGTAAGTGATTAAGGAAATAGGTATTGATTTCAACTATTTCCTAATATTCATGTCTTTTGTATGTGTGCTTTTCATAAAAAATAAGTAGTATTGTGCATGTGAGATCATTTATGATCATAAATATTTTTTGTTTACTGTTACATATGGCAGGAAGTTGAAATTTGTTTGGTTCCATTTAAATATGCTTTAAATATTTCAGGTTTTTTCTTACCATTTTCAATTGAGAGAAGTTTTATTATTATTTTGTGGTGGTGTTAGCTTTGTGTGTGCTAGACAAGCACTTGGTCCCACTGAGCTACATGCCCAGTACCAGAGAAATTTTATTTTTAACAAAGCATCTTACTGGAGTAGTAAATAGTTTTAAATGGGAGTTTGATAATAGAATTAGATCTTAATAATAGTGATAGGCATCTGATATAAGACTAATCAAAATCATCTCAGGAAATAATGTGATATAGTTAGAAGTGGGTGTGAAGGCCTGTGACATGAAATTAATCCATTTTTATGTACCTGTGATCCAGAAAACTTGTAATAATTAATCATGGAATAAAAACAAGACATGGGGGCCTGCCCCTTAGCTCAGTTGTTTAAGTGCAAACTGAAACAAAACAGCAGTGCTCAGTACGCTGTGGTTCGATCCCAGGATCCTCAAGCCAAA